GAGATGAAAGAGGAGGAGACTGGGGTTAGGGGAAAAAGGGGAGAAGGACTGGAAGGGGAGGATGCAGGGTGACTGTGGCTGAGATGTAAAATAAATAGATGAAAAATACAGTAAAAACATGAAATAATTTTCAAAACGTTTAGTGTGATATTAACTATGGGAGATGACCCCTACATGTCTTCACTCATGAATACTAACCTCTTTTTACATTGCTAATGGAGGTTCTGACATAACCTCTATGTGTATCCTTACTGCTAAGTTTAATGCCTGTATAAGGATTGAGAAAGCTATTCATATATTCAACTAACAAAAGTTGCTTGTGACTTACGTGTGTACTTTTATATTTTGAATGCACCTTTACTTCCTACAGTCATTATAGCTCAGTTGACTCCTGCCCTTAGTATCACAAAAGTGACAAATTTGACATCTTAACCCCAAAGGTCTATTACCCACTTATACTAACTTAATTTTGTATCTCATAGGAAAAGGATGAAAATGACCAATTCAGTTATGAAAACCCAGGTTTTATTGTCATTTTTGATGCCTCCCACATTACTTCTTTAAATGATTTTGGTCTCTCATAACAAACACAATTATCCTCTTGTCTACAGGACAAGTCTTATATCCTTACCCAGTGACAAGATTCTAAAATTGCCACAGCACACCCCTCTTGTTGTTCATATGGCTCATTTATCCTACCCTCTGCCTGATGCCCTCCCACTTTATTCTTATTTAACTGAGATACAGTTCAGATAATGCTGAGTCACTCTGTCATGCTGCATTTGCTGTTCCAAACTTTTGTTCCTTTCCAGGTATTCTGCACAATCCTGGCAATCCTGACAAGCTATTGTTGAGCTGGCTAACAAACTATTAAAACTACAACATCAGAAAAGGAAGGGAAGTAATCCCTCAAAACCTTTAATTTTTTTCTATAAATAATAATATTCTTCTGTAAAAGTACTATCTGGAATTTTTCTCTCATATATTACCTGTAGGTTCTGGCAAGATCCAGGCAGGCACATATGAAAACAACTCAAGATTTTCTTACTTGAAGTATAAGTTATGCCTGTATAAGTCACAAATATAACTGTCTTTGTAGATGAGGATAAGTATGTATAATCCTGGTCTAACAGAACCTCCCACAGAGGCCATAAATTTCCTTTGGTCAAGTACTTTACTCCTGGTTTGGGGGGCAAGAAAAGAGAAATCTGATAAAGGGGTACAGGAATTAAGAGATCTAGGCCAGCCTTTTCCCCTGCAAATCTGTATATTGTGAGGGTCTGTTGTGGAATATTACTTTATACTGTATGAAGATATGTCACTGTAATTAGTTTAATAAAAAGATAAATAGCCAATAGCTAGGCAGAATTGTCATAGCAGAGAAAAGGCTAGAAAAGAAAAGGTGAAGTCACCAGCCAGAAGCAGAGAAAGTATGTCATGCCGGAGTTGAGGTAACAGACCATGAAGTCATGTGGCAGCATGTAAATTCATAGAAATGGGTTGCTTTAGTTATAAGATCTAGTTAGAAACAAGCCTCGGTTATTGACTGAGCTTTCATAATTCATAAGTTTCTGTGTTGTAGTTTGAGAACTGGCTGACTGAACAGAGAAAGACTCATAACAAATGGCTACCAAAGTCTAGCATACATTTCCACATAAGAACTGAGAAAGCTTAAATTTAAAAAGAAGAAGAAGAAGAAGAAGAAGAAGAAGAAGAAGAAGAAGAAGAA